ATGGATTAGCTCCACTGGTCACGGCTTCTCACTAGAACTGCGAGAATTCTCTAACGAAGCTAGTCATCATTGAGCATATGTTGATTACTAGTATGGTCTAACATCAATCGGTTCATGATCTCAATAAAAATACCTAATAATCTCCATAACCCCTATACTACTAAATACATTTTATAATGAACAACATTCAACTAGGTACATTCTTCGTAATTAATGAGTCCCAAACATCCAACAACAGGGGTGGAATTCTTCAATTCATGTTCTACTACTTGAATTGACTTATTGTGAAACGAACATTAAAATCGACTACTTATTTTTCTTGTTTGAGCAGTCGAGGTTTTCTTTACAATTTTCATCATTAAAGACTTCGGTAATCAGTATTTGAGTTTTATGCTGAAAGAGAGAGAAAAACATGAATTGTTCGAAAATAACCACAAACACTTCATCTGATGTAACTTAACTTTATATGCCTAAAGACAACAGTCTGTAAAAAACGCGACTACTACTCCACGGTTCATAATGACTGTACAACTATCTTTAAAGAGAATAGTTTTTGCACTAATATATAGTTAAAGTCATGTCTTATACCATTGCATTGAAATAAATAATGTCATGAATTGGAGATACACAGTATGGACGGCATTACGTATGAAACATTTGAAGTTCATTTCTGAGAGTACTCTAATTAACATGTTAATCCATTAGCCAATAAGAGATAAAACGGAATGTTTTATGGTCAAAGGTTGTGTCAGCATGATAACCTATACAGAAACTATTTATAGACTGTGATAGCACAACTATTCATGTTCACAGTTTAGGGGTTGTGAAGATTGTGAAGTTACCTCAATAGAATGATCAAAGGAGCACATTGCATCATTTCATAATTAAACTATTTAATTTTATCAAAAAGGGGTTCTGTGGATATTTTAGTAATATAATAGCTGAATTCATGAGTCAATTAAAGCTAGACAACCATGGAATTGGTTGAAGCTGGAAATTCACACCACTAAATATTAATTTAGTGATCTACATGTTAAGTGTTCGCGTGCGAGACCAATAAGTACTGGGTTCAAATCCCACGAGCGAAATCGTGAATACGCACTGCTGAGGAGCCCCATACTGGGACGAAACGCCCGTTCAGTACTTCCAGGTTTTCCATGTTGGTTTCGCTTATAATGACTCATGAATTCAACTATTAAAGTATTTAATTTTATTTATTCTATACAATCTCGAAAAACAAACTAATTTTCTAGCAACATAACAGAAAATTGAGTTAAACAGTTGGCTATTCAATTATAAAGGACCTTTGGATTCATTTATTTATATTATTCTTAGTTTAAGCTAAGAATAACTGTAATCACAAGTATGATATGCAGCTACATAGTAGTATACGCTTATATGAATGCCTATACAAGATAGTCTAACTTAGTATATTTCTTGTATTCTATTTAGATCTGCAAGTAGTACTTACTCACTTACTTACGCCTGTTACTCCCCGTGAAGGGGCATAGGCTACTCATCAGCATTCTTCATCCATATGCAAGTAGTAACTTACCATATTTTTTCTTATCATTGTCGATTTTTATTATTAATGTAAAATACCTACATGTTAAAAGAATTCAACCTTTTTGTTATATCCCGAATGGTAACTGATGGAATTTATTTCTGGACTAATACTATACGTGTATCTTTATTGTATCATTGTTAAGTAACTAAACTATACATATTCGTGTTCCTCTTATTATGAGCTTTATTTCAACCCATAAACTATTATTATACGATTTACCATTCTTGAGTTATGCCCTATCTGTTAATTACTATCTCCTTTATTCACAACCACATTTGGCTAATTCATATTTTATTGGTACAACGTGGTCTGTTTGGTTGGTATATAAACCCCGTATGCTTGACATAAATGATTCATATTGCAGAGGCTGAGATTGATGTTCTGGACTCTAACAGGCAGGGTTAGGCGGGGAGAAGAACCGATAAGGACTTTAGACTGCTCGTACTTGTTTCATGCGTCATTGGTCCGGTTGATAAACCATTTTTTTCTATGATTGGCGGTATCATGACGTTATACATTCATAGTGTACAAAGCCACAAGGTGTAATACTTTTATTCTTACAAAATGTTTAATCTAATTTGATTGTTTTTTCTACAATATCAGATCAATCAATATGAAAATCTAAACAGTTTTAAGATTCAATGTTTTGAAACGATAAATTTTCTAGAAGGTTCATTTTAACTCAACCATGAAATCCCGTTTCAAAACTTGAACCCCAATATTATGATATGGTAGAAATTTCGTAATTAATTAACATAAATGTTAATTAATGACTAATATGAGGTGCATAATGGACATTCATCCTGTGATTGTATAAAGGAATCTTTGAACCAGTTATCTATTTTTTTTTTGAAATGTTGATTAACACAACTTTAAATGTAGCCATATAATCTTATATCATTATCAATAGGTTTACATTATTTTCTACGAATAAATGAACAAATAAAAGGAATGAAAGTGTTTCAGTATATTTCTGAAAAAGAGGTTAATAACACCAACGTTTTCTTTGTTAGATTATGTCATGTTTTTTCCCGACCATTGCTGCTACCTTAATGTGGTGTTCGGACTTGCCTATCGTAATGAATTAATTGAACTATACTAAGCGGAATAATCGTTGCTCAAGGTCCTACCATGCCAAACAGGTTGGTTGAAGAGCAGTAAGATTAAAAGTAACAAACCGAAGATCCAAGGGCGAAGTTGTACTGTTAACTGTACAAAGGTGTGACGGCAGTAGGGTGTAACCTATAAACAACTAGCATGACAACGATGTTGCCTTTCCACAAGGCGAGGTGGGGTTAGAAAAGATCGACCATAAGATGCATACCTCACATCATCCCATGGAGTTCCGCCTCCAGTGGTAAGGTCTCAACACGTGTGGAGCTGACATGAAAACTATTCACGAAAATGTCGAGTATGACCGACCTCAAGCAGTTGTCACTTGGGCACTGCAGTTACACTCTCAGGTCACTAAGACCACCCCTAACTCAATTCCCTTTTCAGGTACCTATAGATAAACCTTCCTACGGTGTGGGCAACCGGGAAGTGATAAGCGCCCTCATACCACTAACAGCAATGAAGATCATTGTGTTCATAATTCATCTCAAGTTTTACTTTTTCTCAATTAAGTTTATGGTTTATTGAAAGATGTTGTACAAAAACTCACTCAGTAGGTTTACTGAAACTGGTTTATTATTCTCTTCATTTAAACAATAAAAGTGCTTAGATTCAAAGAAGTACGCTGCATTTTTCATAGATTTAGTTTAAACAATATTCATAAGAAATTCAAATAAGGATTCAGAGAATATGAAACATTATATAAACGAGGTAGTCAGAACATGGCAACGTACGAAATGTGCTTAAATCTAATAAAAACCTATTTTTTAAACACTTCAGTAAAATAGTAAGAAACGCACGTCAAACTGAATTTCACTGTTAGCCATTACCCATCTTTAGATGGTGGTTGACACGGAACCCTGGACCCGGGTTTCGTGCTAATTGGCACTCTTCAGCAAGGTGTACCTGTAATCTTGAGGAAACTGGTGCTCCCTGGCGGATTCGATCCTGTGTCACCCAGCTTCACAGTCAGAGACGTTACCACTGATCTATTCGGGTTCCCTGTCGACCATCACCAACCACCATCTAATCTCAATATATAGTGCACGCAGTCTCGAGTCACCTCGACTGGTGACCACATTACAAGATGATCGATAGCATTCGATCTGCACTAAATAAGGACTTGACACATATGACATTGATCACCACTCAGTGATCAATCAATTGTGATTATCCATCTTTACTTATAGTGCTTGTGAATGATAGCAATATCGAGACAATCCGCACAGTATGCATATATACCACTAAGAGACTGATCAATTGCAGTCCTAAACAACAATAAGAATATACAAGTAAACAATATCAAGTGAATTTAAACTTCACTAGGAGTAATCATGGAAACATTTCTATTCTATGTAACTATCATGAATGTTAACAATATTTACGAAATATCAATGTTTATAATCAAGTTCCGTTTCATGTTGAATAGATTATAAATTGAATTGTATAATCTAAAATTACAACTTAAAAGAAGAATATATACATTTAGAAAATTCAATATATCAAGCTTACATTCACAATATTCAACTCTGTTGTATTCATAATGATGAAGCCTTTCCCCCCCCCCCATTGATAGTATTGAGAAGAACATACTTACATGAGTTCACTTAGTTTTATTCATTCTACTGATTCAAACGATGTATGAATGATGTTAAACCTTATGTACATTAAAAGCTAAACAGATTCCATTCATTTCACTTTTATTTTTAATAATGGTAACTGTGAAAATAAAAAGAGTTGCTCAATGATGAACTGTATGATGTATATCCAAGTGTACAATTCAATGTATATAATGACATGAAGTTTACTCACCATTTACATTCATGCACACACACAAACACACAGAGAGAGAGAGAGAGGGGAGGATCGACAGAGACAGAATTTACACTGTTTAAAACAAAACGTTTATCTAAGTAAAATTTGAGTAATTCATTGTACAAAGTGTAATTTGTCAATAGATACATCTTTAGATTAGGAAGAAAGTCATTATCATCATTACATGAATGGATCATGTGAAATATATCTTTATGTATTCATGGTATAATTTAGCTTATTATTCATATCATTATTAATAAAGTAGTACTACTAATATTATTGATTAATTCTCTTGCACTTAAATGTTGTTTACGACGTTGATGATGTTGTCGTTGAGAATATCGTTGATGAAGATGTTGGTGTTGAAGACAATGATCATCATCAGTGAATGTATGAATTAAAATATCTATATTTGTTCATAGGATTGTTTATTTTATTATTCATATCATTATTATTATTACTAATATTATTGATTAATTCTCTTGCTCTTAAATGTTGTTTACGACGTTGATGTTGTTGTCATTGAGGATGACGGTGATGAAGTTGTTGGTGTTGAAGATGATGTTCATCATCAGTGAATGGATGAAGTAAAATATCTTTATTTATCCATAGGATTGTCTATATTATTATTCATATCATTATTATTATTATTATTACTAATATTATTGATTAATTCTCTTGCTCTTAAATGTTGTTTACGACGTTGTTGTCTAGGATGTTGTTGTCGTTGAGGATGTTGAAGATGATATGAATGATGAAATAATTTATTATTATTATTATTATTATGTTTAATATAACAACATTTATATGATATAATACTATTAAATAATAAAATTTTTAATTTTTTTCTAAATGCATTACTCATAAAACAATAAATTAATGGATTTGACATATTATTTAAGTAGTATGTATTATATGCAAGTAAATTAAATTGTACTAATTTATTAGCTGTTAATAATGCTGGTGTAAATACAATAATATAAACAACAGCTACAACAAATAATACACTAGCTGAACGTATCTCTCTCCATAATGTACTTTCTGTTATATTTTTTATGGATAAATTCATTTTGATTCTATTTGTTAAACTTTTACGATGATGTTGATGTTGATGAGGATCATTGGTTAAATGTTCAATGTCACTAGTAGTAGTAGTAGTAGTAGTAGTAGTAGTAGTATTGTTTAAATCATTTGATGAAATAGCACTTCTTTGATTTCTATTTAACATTTTTGTATTATGTATTATGATAGTATTATATGGTATAGTATTATGATTAATCACTGGTGTATAACGTTGAGCACGATGTGTTTTAATGACAACGCGTAAAATTAATGAATATAATATAATAACGGATAGAATTGATAATATAAAACTAGCTGTATTACCTTTTTGTAATATATCATATGTTAATTTTTCTATATAAGTAGCATTTGGTATTTCTGGTGTATCACAACATTGTTTTATATTTGGTTCATCATTTGTTATCCCTAAACTATGATGTAATGCACCAAGTATACCATATATAATACAAAATATAGCTAAACCTAATGTTAAATATTTAGCACGTTTCATTGTTAATATACGACGTAATGGATGACATATAGTAAGATATCTTTCTAATGCAATTGCTATAATTAATAATGAACTAAACATTATATTACATATATTTAAAAATGCATGTGTTTTACACCATATATCTGTTGATGGTTGTAAATGTATATATTCCATATAGAATGTTAATGGTACAACAAAACAACATACCATTAAATCAACACATGCTAATACAAGTATAAAAAATGTTGGTGTACCAGTGGTTTTAGTAAATAATTGTTCATTTGATTCATGAATTTGTATGATATGATTCAAATTATCATTATTCATATCATGAAGATACGATGATGATGTTGTTGTTGTTGTTGTATATAGTTCATTTGTATTTAACATACTTAATTTTTGATTATAATAAATTTGTCTATATTTTAAATGTAAATGTGGCCAAAAATGTTGTTGTATATAAACACCTAATACAAGTAAATTTCCAATGGTGCCTAATAATGAAACAGAACCAAGTAGAATTAATGTACATAACCATATTGGATCAATATTCGTTTCAACAGTTTCATAATATGGAATCGTTGAATTTGAAATATTCATGTATATTATCTTGATATATTTAAATTTATTTTAAGAATAAATTAAAACATTTTAATGTTTAAAAATTATTCAAGAATGTAAATCGGTCAGCTTCTAAAATCAAAAGCATTTATATATGTGTACATGTATTTATTGACCAATCAAAATGCAAGGTATAATTCAAATATTTTGATTGGTTGAATATACTCTTTATATTGTTTTGATTGGTTAAAATAATTAACCAATGAAATAAATAGACGTTGTATAAACTTATGTAATATGGTGAAACTAAACTGTTTATTAAGTGATTGTGTATATACCCAATAGTAATAATAAATTTTAAAAAAATTTGTTTTATTCTAATGAGTAGAAAAATATATTTCTGAAGTTTAACAATAATGTAAATCACTTATTTAGAATAAATCGTATTTAGATACAGTTTCTGCAATGGTAAACATGAACTAGTGAGGTTTGTTCTACTTATATTGACATAAGTAGTATATGATGTTAGTCATGAACAGAAGGTCTGGCAGAAGAGAGACAAGAGGATCGAACAGTAAAGAATGGAAACAGAATGCAATTTGTATGAAAATGCAAGAACAATAAAGTCTAAGTCATTTTGAGACAATTGGTGGACATTTTGCAAATTAAGTATTTCGTTGTTAGATTTTATTAAGAAGTCCTGTAATTTTTTGTTAAATACAATCAATTGTCCCCACTCGTGCTCTTTTCACTACACCAGGACAAATGTATCCACTGTCGTGGAACCACTATAGTCTTTAAAATGGTGGAGATCTGTAGTTCAGGTGAATGATTTTGATGAGCTTTTGTTCCTTGATGATACTGATGATGTCGTTCAGAAGAACAATGAAAGCTCCACTATCAAACCATCCAGCTCAGAGAACAAAACTCCATTAAAACCGTTGTGGTCTACCAAGAAAATTCCATATATTTATACAATAGTCAGGTGAAAATCTCTTATGAAATCATATCCATAAAGCTTTATATTAAAGGAAAGTTTAAGTATTAACCATAAATTCTATTTATTACTTTCTAAAATCAAGATGTCCATGGGCAAAATAAATTTATTTGGATAAATCCTTAGTAAAGTCTAGAGAATGAATAGACATGACTTTTTGAACATTAATCTTCATTGTAAGAGAAGATATAATGAAGGATGACAAAGAACTACTTTCTTTCCAAGTTGACAGATATAAAACATCAAAAATGATTAGAATATAGATATTCTAGTGAATACTCATAATTCAATCAGTTTACACCAAGTTTTAGGTACCTTAGCATACAAAATAATTCTGTCTGATAGAAATCGATACAATATCTCTCATAATTTGACTGTTGATATACACTCTACTTTCATTTATCTAACATATCGAATAAATTTGAACATCTTACGGATGATCTGGTGAATTCGATGCCTCTAATTTTGAAATAGCCATGCACAACGACAGCTTGATATGTGTAAGTTATTCTTACCACAGACTGTTACCCGTCAGAGTATCATTGAGAACCAGAAATCGATAGACGACTGTTATGTATCTAAATGGGACTCAACATTCGTGATTACACATGATCTCTTCATATTTTAGAATAAATAAATTAATAAAGGATAAGTTTTTCAATTAATTACCATTCAGTTCTTCAGTTGTTGGATCACCTTAATGATCAAAAAGAATAACTTGATCCAAGATTAAGAATAAGTCACAATAATGCCAATATAAATGTTCAGATAACTTGCATAAAATGTATGCTTGAATTAAATTTTACGTAGGATGAAATTGTTAAACGGAATCTCAATGCAAATAAATAATAACAGAAATAGTAGTGATTCTATTGAACCAAATAAGAATTTGTTTGTAAACAAGGATTGGAGGTTATGTACCATGTGATTGACAGTGACATAGATGAATTGATTCTTTAGTTTCTATCAAATCTTGATGTTTGAAGTTATATTAAACTTCAAATTCATATTCTTTTCTCGAATCATGTTCTGTAAGTACAATATGCCTGTGTGAGATGATTATTGGGTTAATGAACTTGAATCTGGCTAGGGATATAGAAGATAGAACAAGCTTCTTTTGAACACATAAAACTTCGGCTTTTACGTTTTCATGGATAATATTTCTTACATTGTTATTACTTCCGTAATTTCTATACTAAAGCATATACATTTTGCATGTCTTAAAGTATAATTTATGCTTTTCAGTCTACTGGTTAATTAAAATTTCTGATTGAGATCATGAACCGATTGATGTTAGATCACCATTGAAAACCTGGAAGGACTGGATAGCCGTTTCGTCTTGTTGTGAGACTCACTAGCAGTGCACATCTACGATCCCGTACATGGGATTCGGACCCAGGGCTTTCAGTCTTTCGCTCGAACGAATAACCTACTGGACCACTGAGCTGGCCATCACCCAACAGTGTTAATGTCTAACCTCAACCAATACGCAAAATTTCTTGAACATCTTCCATTATATTGAAGTAAATAATAGTGGCTAGCTTCGTGAGAGAATTCTGGGAGTTCTAATGAGAAGCCATGACCAGTGGAGCTAACTCGTGTCGAGTAGGAACAGATATCTACCTCAGTACAACTTCGTGGATTAGTTGAAGTTAGACATTAACATAGTTGGATCTAGAGGTTGAGCGTTCACGCGCGAGACCGAAGGCCCTGAATTCAAATCCCGCGGAAAGTTCAACACTAAGACAAAACAACTGTTCAGTGTTTCCAACGGTGATCTAACATCAATCGGTTGATGATCTCAAACAAAAACTTAATAATCTTCACAACTTTATACTCATAATTAAAATCTCTTTTTAAACCACTATAAGTAATATAAAGTCTGTATTAAAATATCAGTTGAATAAAAAGATTATTTCACTTCTGTTTGTCCATCAAATCATAGATGTGATAAAACAACTTGACGAATAACTTAACTTACATATAATCGTTTAAAAATGTTGCAATCAGTCTAACAAAAACAAAGAAAATAGGAAGAATGCAAATATATGACACTAAGTAGACTTACCACGACGTGCAATGCTAGCCAGTGTTGAAGATGGTTGGAAGAAAGTTAAGGGCGGTCAAACCAAAACGTGGCATCAGTGCTTGAAGTCATTAACTTCTAGTCTGAGCCATGTTGGTAGATGCAGACTACTTGGTTGGTGTCCACGTGTCTATCGTAACCAATGGTTGGAGAATCTGTTTGACATGGCTCAGAATCGATCACAATGGCATCGGTGTATACACCCTTTGTCTTTCTTTATACCTTTCTTTCTACGCACTAATTCTTTCTTCCTGTATTATATTCTTATATGCAATCTTTCTTTCATATATTACCACCACTGAATTAACTACTTCTATGAATTTGGTGTTCATCTTATTGTGCTAATGCGGTATTGCAACTTGGACGGATGTATATATATGTTCCTGGTCCTACGTTGTAGCTGACTGACTGACTAAATAATATCGACTAGTAATAACTCATTCATAGACATTTCTCGTTGTTAATGAACAGGAATAAAAATCAAAGTTAGCTAACCATCAGTAGACAAAAAATCAAATATCAATAATCCAATATAAAAAGAAATATCAAAAATTGATCCTAATTTTTATAATGGCTTGTTGTATAGGTGTAGTAGTCATAGGTTTCCCTTCCCTTCCCTTCCCCTCCCCTCTCCCCCCCAAAAAGACAAAGATCGTATTTTCATCAAGACTTTCATTTATTTAAGCATAAACTTAATTTATCCTACCTGCTGTGACTAAAAGTATGGAAGAAAAACAAACTGACTTTATTGAAACAGCTAGTAAAAATGAAGAAGCCTTGATAAATCCTACTATTTTACCATATATATACATGTCTATATAGTAATATGCAATAGAAATTGGTTATGAAATATCACTAATCGACAGAAGTTAAAAGTATGAATAGCTTAATAATAATAACAGAATGGTTGAAATGCAATTAGATCATTATTAATTTTCAAGATTCTCTCTGAGATGAAGATGAAGAAGATTTGTTGTTCATACATACAACAAAAGGCGGCCTGCTTGAGCATCTGGGCTACCGGTTCCTGCTATCTAGATATTTCAACAAGTTATCTATTTTTGTTTGTTTTAATATATGTCATTATGTCTATTCATCGCATAAGCTATCCTGGTGCATTTCTGAAAAGTGTACAACCTTTCGTTGTCAAAGTTTCAAAAAACTCAATAAGAGACAATGTGGTTGCTGACAATATACAACGAAAAGAATGTACATTATTCAGATGTTCATTCACTGGACTGCTAACATCTAACTGGCGATCACTCAATATTTATCGCCAGGACCGACGAAGAAGAAAGAAACGGAAACTTGTTGAAATACTTTGTGCTGAGAATTCTATATTGTACCAAAAATATAATATTGAATAAAGCTGATAATGATAATGATAATGAAGAAGATTTGTTGTTCAGATGGATGATTTTGATGAAGTTTTGTTCTCTCAGAACACTGTTAACATACGTTCTCCCTCACAATCTCAATTTGTTTTAGAATATGCTTAGATTATATCAGTGAACAAACATTTGATAAGATTTCATTTTACTTTAACAAGAGAGAAGCATATTTACAATTGAAGAAAATCTGGAACTCAAAATAACTGTCAACCAACAAGAAACTCAGAATTTTCTATACAAATATCAACACAATCCTACTGTATATGGCGGAAAGTTGGAGAACTACGAAAGACATCATCCAAAAGATACAAGTGTTTATTGACAGTTGTCTATGCAAAATACTTCATATCCGTTGACCAGACAATATCAGCAACAACCTACTATGGGAGAGAACAAACCAGATCCCAGTGTAGGAAGAAATCGGGAAGAAGTGCTGGAAGTGGATAGGACACACATTGAGAAAACCATCCAACTATGTCACAAAACAAATCTTGACACGGAATCCTCAAGGTCAAAGGAGAGGTGGAAGATCAAAGAACACATTACGCCTAGACCGGGAGACAGATATGAGATGAATGAACAACAACTCGATAGAACAAGAAATGAAGGTTCAGAACAGAGTGAGCTAGAAAATGCTGGTCGGTGGCTT